GCTTGGGCCTCTGCTAGTGTAGTAATAACACAGAATGCAGTTATTGATCCCTCTCTACCAAATCAAAGTGAATTAATTTAAGCAGAACTGCTGGTCAACGAGTCCATCTACATTCTAACTGGTAATAAAAGGAGCTTCATAAATGGCTGTAATTAGTAACATTTTACCAATAAAGGTTTTGGGAAGGCTGATACTGATACTTTTATAAAGAAGCTGTTGATAGCTAATACTTTGTGTTGACATTTATTATCTATACAATTCCATTCCACAAATACTGCCTGTAGGGCTGAACAGAATCATAATAGTGGTAAATCCAACAGTCCAACGGCATTTCTAAGGTCTAGTGTGCAACATTTAGAAGGATCTCCTGGCAGAAATGGAATATTAATATGTATGATTAAATGATAGGAAAATTAGGAATCATTGTGTTTTTGTTACCTTAGAATGAGCTGTTTTATCTACAGAAGGAGTGGGTCCACTTCTACGGAGTCACCATGTTGAACTACCATCATTCTATAGTAGCCCAGAACGGACAAACCAAACACTGGCTCTTGCTAGGGCTTTTTGTATTTTTTTCGTGTTTTGCAGCCACCGTAGTTTCTCTTTCTTGGAAATCAAGCAGTTTCAGTCGGTGGCAATCAGCAACTTCACTACTAGACACCACTAAATCCTACATTGGTCCTTTGGCAGTCAGGCACCTAGTGGACTACAGTAGTTCTATTTTCTTTGTAAGGGAGGAACAGGAGTTTTCCCATCCAGTCTACATGCAGTTTTTTGGACTTAGAGAAGGTTTATGACCATGTCCCTTCGGGTGTCTTGTGGAGGGTGCTATGGGAATACAAGGTGCAAAGACCATTTCTATGAGCCTGCCCTTGTGAGAAAAAGTTGTGTCCATATTCTTGGCCAGAAGTCAGACATGTTTTCAGTCGGTCTTATGTTTTGCTGTTTGTAATTTTCATGAACAGAGAGAGAACACCAGGGGGGCAGAGATTGTCCATTATGGTGGCCTCAGGATTGCGTCTCAGTTTTTTGCATAGAATGTAGTTTTGCAGGCTTTTTTCGGTCTGTGACCTCTAGCCCATACTGGGATGTATGAGGGTCAGCACATGGTTGTCTTTTCAACATAGACAAGCCTTGCACGTAGCATATCTAAGTACAGGAAAGGAGAAAATTGACTAAGGTTCTGATAGAGCAGTGTTTCTCAAACTTTTTCAGATCAAGCACCACTTAGTCAATAAAAAACAAAATCACGGACAACCAAACTCCCAAGTATTCTTCAAAACAATATAGGCCTACTTCAACAGTATATTACAGCAGATGAATCAATTTTGGATTTTTTTGGACATATAAATAGTATAGCCTACTATGCTATTAACTAGTCCAAAACAAATCCTAAATTGATGTAGTTGCTGTGGTATTTTCGTTTTACTTTAGTGCTGGATTTTCCACGTTCTTGCTGAGTTTCACTTTGAGGGACTCGATGCTAGCTGAGGCACTTGTTGCTGTTGAACCACTCCTATCAAGGTGATGCATCTTGCCGTAACCTGGTGTGTCAGATATTTCATTTGATTTTCTTTTATTGGACCCTGTCTTAAGCCACCATTCCATGATCTTTACAGTTAGATAATCAATGAACGCGCTGATCATTTATGACGTGAATCATAAAAGGCGCCGTAGCAGTGTCGTAAAACGTTGCATTGCTGAAGTGTGATTTGTATATTTTATGCACCAATGCACCAAGACAAATTCCTTATATGTGTAAAAACTTACCTGGCAATAAACCTAATGCTGATTCTGATTCCGAAGTCTGACAACACCGCCAAACAGACAATTGTATTAATAATGTTTGAATGTAATTGCTAACTGGCTTAATTTTGAAAACAATACATACATGGTACTCCCAAATAAGATTTGTAGTCGCTCACAGACAGTTTGAGAAACACTTTTAAATTAAAACATGATATTTTCCAATCAAGTCGCGGACCACTAGGGGCTGCTGGTGGACCACAAGTGGCGGAGCACTCTTTGAGAATGACTGTGATAGAGGCTTGCTCAACTGTCACTAGAGCACAGAGACTAAAGCCATTAAGGCTAACTGTAGAGGGATATACATGTGGGTCAACCATTGATTTGTTAATAGCTGATTGGCTTTTAATAGCTTCACATTTAAGTGGGCTTTCTTTAAGGTGGGCTTTGTTTTATTATATGATATTTAGAAATAAATACACAAATCACACAGAGTAGGAGGAGCAAAAGGTTAAAAAGTGCCCAGACAATCATTGTTGCCCTGGGCCTCCATGTACAGAACACATAGTATATGTAATATTGATATTTAGGGTTTAAGAGGCTAACTTACAATAATTCAGTCAGTGTCTTGATCAATTCTTCATTTAATCAATTAAACTGTGTCATATCCATCACACCAAAGCTGGACCACACTGACTGTTGATATCTTAATTGCAATGAAAAGCCAGAAACAATGTTTATTTATGGATTTCAGTGTAATAATTATGCTGCAAACATAAAGCTTTGAATAGAAGCGTCTCCCAGTCTAACCGCAGCAGTGTCTCTGCAGCAGTCCCACTCCAAAGGGAGATATGAAAACTAACTAACTGTGTATCTGGCTGTGATTTTTACCACTCCACTATTTATATCTACAGACACACTGTTTCAGTCAGACAGCAAAGTGTTGCTCCGGGCTAGCTTCATAGCAATCTCCTGCTACTTCTTCTAGACTGTCATCTTTTTGTTGTTGCGTTGATTTGTGGGATTGAAAGCATCATCAGGCTTATACTCTTTTCTACTGCTGTTTCCTCTGCACTCATGATACTGCCGGAACAAAATAATTCTCAACTTTTTTAGTCTTGTCAGAGTTGTTATATTTACACAAAACATGAAAAATATAAATGTTTCATCAGGAAATTGCACATTTTCTTAGTGATCCTCCAGAAAGGCACAAGGTTCTTGCTCCTACTTAGTGTTCCGAGTTCTCGTTGAGTCTCAGCAATTCCCTAAACTACGCAATTTGGCACAAAGCACACTCGACGGGACTCAAAGCCTCCATTTCACTCTCACCGTCCCCCAATTAGACCTGAAATCCATAGGCTCATTAGATCGTCCAGGTTACAGGGTTCTCTCATTCCCCTGACATCTCTTTCACACTAACAAGACAAACTCTGTTAACATGGAGCTTCCAATTATTCAGAAAAATGTGGCAGTGCTGGCAGCAATGCAGTGAACAGCCTTTTGTCAGTAATTTGCTGAGGCCCATCTCTGTGACATGCTCAGGAGAATGGAGATGTAAGACACTGAATTTTAACTTAATGAATACATTTTTTATTTAGCACGTTGAAGAGCAGCATCTGCAGGCCTGTTCTGACAACTGCTGTGTCTTATGTAAGTGAGGGCATTCACATTGATTTTACACATAAAGGTGCAGTTCAGCCTGTGAAAATTCTTGCATGTCTTCCATGGCTCTGGAGGAGCTTTGTCAAGTCGGATAAAATAATGATGCCATAGTGATGTCATCATGTTTATCTCAGCTTGGGTATGTAGACTATGGATTCATAACAGAAAGGTAGGCCTATGGAGTTTTAAAAGACTTGGGCTTTTACCAGGAGGGGAGTCATAGAATTGCTATTGAGTTACATTATACATTATAGACTGTATAATTAAAAATGGACATCGTCTCTGTGGCATCACCTATAGGTTGCTGAAGAGCTGTTGTGAAACTCAGTGTGGTCAGCTCTGGCCGTTGCCATCTTGACGTGGAGCCTGGAGTGCAGGCTTGGGAAGTAACAGATTATATGTAACTGAGTTACATAATCAGGATACAAAAAAAGGTAACTGCAATCAATAGTAATACAGTTACAGAAAAAAGATGTAATCAGATTACAGTTGCATTAGGAAAAAGAGAGCAGAGGACACATTTTTGTTGATAAAAAAAATACATTTTCTTTTCTAAGGTTAAATTGTTTTGTTGTCTTACAGAATAAACTGACATCAATATTTCTTATAGCTACTTCTTTTCTCTTGTCTTTAATTGCATGTTTGTTGTCAAGGTAATCCAAAAGTAGATGCGTTACTTGAATATTGTAATACTTGGATTAAGGGTTTGACTACATTTACACTACAGGTAATGAGTAATTGTATTGGATTATATTTTTAAAGTAACCCTCCCAAACCTGTGGCCAGCTGAATGAAGCTTGGTTACTGAAAACAGCCGGCTGTGACGGCACCTACCTGTCACTCAAAGTGGCTTTGCACTTAATTATGAATAGCTTTGAGCTTTAATATAATATTAACATGTGAGTTATAGACAAATTCACCACATATAGTTGTTATTTCCCACACGATAGTGAAATAAGACATAAAGCTACGTATAGGCCACGTATCCTTTATACATATGAGTTTAAAACGTATATATACAGTAGGCTATATGAGTAGATTAAAGAAGTACAAGTCCTTATAACAGTAACAGTAATATCTGCAGGGCTTTTACCAAAGCTAAGTACCAGTTTGAAGCTACTAACATGTACGCTGAACTGAGTTTTCAGTATTCAAAGAATAAAAAGGATACAAGCTAATTTAAATATAATTTTACAACGCAGGTTGTAGAATTAAAATTACATTTGTAGTTCCCTTTATGCTACTCGTAAAAAACAAGACACGTAACAGACACATTGTGGGATCTGTACACGAAGGTGACAACTGAGGGGAGTTTGCTTTGTGATTCTGGTGGTCCTTGAGAAGTTTAAAAACACAAATGCCACGGGAATTCCATGTGGACTTCATTTCCCAGGAGCCATTGCGCTGGGACGACTAAAAAGCATTCCTTAACAGGCTGAAGCTCAGTTTAAGACTAAAATTATTTCTTTAATGGTTAATTTAACTCGAATAGTTTATGTAATTAACGTGTAAAAATCTTATTTGTGCAGTTACACGTTATAAGCAGCCTGTTTGATGCTATCGCACATATACCAGCTTTAGGTTTTTTTGCCCCCCTATCGTCACGCGCGACGCGGAACTAAGCATGAGTGAAAACATGTCTGTGTCAAGCAGCTCCTACAAACCTGTGAGCCATGTCCTTTTCGATATGGATGGATTATTATTAGGTCTTTAAATTTATTTTGTGTGTAATCTTGAAGCTATGTTAATTTCATTAGAGGCTGCACCCACACTAAAGCTATGTTGATACAGTAACTCATTCAAAGACCGTAATCGTTCACGGTGAGGAGTTCGCATGCCGAACTCCGTGGAAAAAAAATAGAATTTTGTGATTTCTTTGAACATGGCTAAAACACCGTGTCACGTCGAACAATACTTAATTATATTTTTATAACGTTACAATGTACGAGTGAATTCGGCATACATCTAAAACAGAAATATGTGCTACAAATGGTAGAAATTCAACGTTTACTCTTGCTTACCCTGGTTGACCTGCATGTTACATTACCCCCAAATGTTTACCACGTCGAAAGTGACTTCTAAAAGTTGAGGTTTCACTGACAGTTAGAACCTATTTATTAAATAGACATGTGCCGAATTAAAGATTTGCATCTAATGACCAGTGTAAAAATGTATTACGCCATACTTGCCAATTATAGATCTACCACTAAGCCCGGTCACTGTAAATTACCTTATTTTTTTAAATGATGTTTAGCTTTATCCTAAAACACAATTTGGGACTGTATTGTCTGTGAGCTATCATTTCAGGTATATTTAATCTTGATAATGTAATTTTCAAATGTTAAATTTGGTTTGGTGTGAGGTATATTTTCTATAAGAAAATAATGTTAAATGTTGTATTTTCTACAACATAAGGCCATACATTTGCTTTGTACTTACAGTTTGAGGTCACAGCCAAATGTTCTGTCTCATCTGTTCATTTTCAGGCTAAAATATGTGGCAGTATACCAACGATTCCATTTATATTCAAGCTTAAATTACATTTAATTGAAAGCTATTAATTTTCTTTTTTGCATTCTCTCATTTCAGACACAGAGCGACTGTACACTGTGTCCTTCCAGGAAATATGTGACCGCTTTGGAAAGCAGTACACATGGGACGTGAAGTCGTCAGTGATGGGTAAAAAGGCGCTGGATGCTTGCCAAATTATTCGGGACACTTTGGAGCTTCCACTGACAGCTGAGGAACTCCTGGCTGAAAGCAGGCAAATACAAGAAAGGATCTTTCCCTTTGCCAAACTCATGCCAGGTACGACTGATTTACCGCACACATTTGACATTCAGTGCCATATTTTAGGCCATTCACAACAGAAAGCAGAAATATAAAACAGTCAAATGCAACTGATTTGTTCTCAGCTCAAGAGCGGCCTATCATTAGCTCTTGTGTGGGCTGCTGTCCTCTTTATTCTACATGGGAGTGCTGCTCCTTCTGTTGTACATGTGTGCACACAACGTGCGATATGTAGTTTTGATATTCAGTACTACAGCTGGAGTCAACAATTATTTTCGGATTAATCATTTTTTCTGCAAAAGGTGAAAAATAAGCAATGACCAATTCAAGTAGGTGTCTACTGTGATCGCTTGCTTTTGACAGTTAAGTTTTGTATATGTGTTGAGTCATGAGATCATTTCTGACTGAGGGTTCTTTTAATCCACTGTGCTACTTTACCTAATGGTGACTTCCTCTGAATGTAAACAATAGAATTGAAAGAAAAGAACATCTAGTGAAATGTGTCCTTTGTGTTGCATAAGTATGGTGATTCAGCAGGTGCAGCAGTCGCTCATAATTTAATTAATCAATTGAGGCCTCCCTTAAAATGTCATGTCATCATTGAATTATAATAGAAAGCATTTTATCTGTGCTACTAATGCTATTGAACAAAGAGTGTTCAATGTTCACCAGAGAACTTCACATCCAATGCATGCTGGTTCTTCTCTGATTAAATGATTTTGATTTCTGAGATTTAAAACATTAATATAGCAGTACACTAATATTTGCTATGAAAAGATATAATGGAATTATGGTGTCCTGAGCAGAGCACACTCCGTCTGCCTGTATTGCTATCGCAGCCTCTCTGTGGTTGCTGTACATAGCGGGTCTGCTCTGTGTGCAGCTGAGAAGAGCAACTGAAACTGCTGTTTTTCCTCATCTAACTTGGTGAATTAAAGTTAAATAGATTAATTAATTAATTAATCAAAATAAGCTGGCAGCTAGGGTTGGACTTGATGGGGACTGCATGATATGGTAAAAAAGTCATATTGCGATTATTTTGACAGATATTGAGATTGCGATATGATTCATGATTAGTATGGAAATCTGATTTTCATTAAAAAAACTAATCATCACCAATTTTGCTCAATCATTATTGTAACTAATACTCTAATAGTTTCTTTTCAGAACTTTCTTCCACTCTTGTGGTTTGTTCAGTCTATTGCTTACCTTATTTCACATCCTGACATTTTGCTTCCACTATTCCATGGGGCAGCCTTGTCAACCATTTGTGACATATACTATAGTATAGATTTGTGGACTTTATAAGATTCCGAACTGGGATTCAGCTGTAACCTATGATGGAGTGGTAACATAGAGCAGCACAAAGATGTATTCAATGTCCATATTTGCAGGACAGGCAAGTTAAAGGAGTATGTTCCTTGAGGAAGTTTTTATTACAGGTTTTACTGACTGTCATTTTAACACTGTAGATCACAATCTTCCCACAACTCTGCTCTGCTCACTGGTTACCATTTAAATAAAAAATAAGAATAAACACATTTAAAGTCTGGGAAGGAGCATATGAAGAGTTTTTTTTTTATTGAAAACATTAGCCTTGTACAGTGACAAACTGATATATTGTTTCGTTTTGCAAAATGTGTACCACTAGGTGTGGAGAAACTGGTGCACCACCTGCAGAAGCACAACATCCCCATTGCAGTAGCAACCAGCTCAGCCGGTGCAACGTTCAAGTTGAAGACGAGCCAACACAAAGACTTCTTCAGTCGGTTTGACCACATTGTTCTGGGTGACGATCCCGAGGTAAAGAACAGCAAACCTCAACCTGACTCCTTCCTTGTCTGTGCCAGAAGATTCAGCCCTCCAGCTTCTCAAGAGAAGGTACAGATTACACACTCATTTCTGCCGCTAAGGGGGGTTCTCACATAAAAACAATAACAAAAGACAAGTCAGCCTCTCCCGGTTGGGAACGAGATGTTCACAGAAGGTTTTTACCAGGAGCCCAATCATCCACAGAGTTTTCCTCCTCTCTAAAACAAACGGCGGACTGCCGCTAACGTTAGCTTAGCTTGTTTCTCTGATAACTTAAGATCCAGACGTCGGATGAATCGGAATCTTCACCCGGTTAAAATACACATAAATATTGGCTCTGCTAGGTCAACCTACTTTGCTAGTGCTTCTTTTAAACTAATTTTATTTCTAACACATAACAAAAAAAGAACCAACATAGCACAGTTTAAAAAAATATTTTTACGCTTCCACACTAGTGATACGCATTATATTTTTGAGAGCCTGCCAGCTGCGTTGCTGCTGCTGAGCTGCTGCTGCGAGAGCCCTCTTTCCTTATACACTTTTCTTTGTATAATGTCCATGAAAAAGTGAAATTCACATAATTTAATTTACAGTGCAGAAAGCAGTCAAATGTAGTTTGTTTACCCGAGAGAGAAAGCGAGAGAGAGAGAGCAAATTGTGATGGCTAGATTACTGAATCAGGGCATCTCCAAAACTGCAGCTCTTGTGGGGTGTTCCCGATCTGCAGTGGTTAGTACCTATAAACAGTGCTCCAAGGAACGAAAAGCGGTGACCCGCGGTAGGGTCACTTGAGGAGCAATGGCTGGCCCGTGTGGTCCGATCCAACAGATCAGCTACTGTAGTTAAAAGTGCTGAAAACGTTAATGCTAGTTCTGATAGAAAGGTGTTAGAACACAGTGCATCGCAGTTTGTTGCATATGGGGCTGCATAACGTTATGACTACCAGGGTGCCCAGGTGGTCACAATGTTATGGCTGATCTGTGTAAATCAATACAGTTCTAACTTCCATTTAGCCAAAAAATAACTTTTTATTCAGTCCCTTCAAAATCTTCACCATATATATCACATGAGTCTGGACTGACATGGATGTAAACTGCCACTTGACTGGTTGGCAGATGCAGACAACTGCAGGGCAGTAATTCTAGTTACTGCCAATTTGACAGAAGGATTCTGTAAAAATTCATTTTTGTTGGTATATTTTTTTGATAATGAATAGAAGTAGTTGTAGTGTCTTAATTCAGTTCTTGGATGAAATTGGGTAAGTAACGTGAGACATAATCAAACTTTTATTTGAATTCATAGTTGCTTAAAAAGTGCAATACTTTCTATTTTGCTATTTCTTAATTATTGCATGATTGCGGCTTTATCTTTTCACATGAAAATTAATGAGGCAGAGGCAGTTGCTGTGTGTCAACCATATGGGTTGACCCATATGGTTGGCCCATATGACCAACCATGAATGTGACCAAACATGTATGAGCCCATCAGAAATTAGCAACATATGCCATTGTGGTGACACGACCGATGACTGTTGGGTGAGGGGTGGAATAATTCATCACCACATACTGCAGCTGTCATGTCTGCTCATTATAAGCACCTGTAGTGCTTACTTTTTTTCATAAAGTAGATTGAAAATATTCGTAGATGTGTTCTTCTTTTAATTATATTTATTTTTCAAATGTCATTGCTTTTTATACTGGCGTAACACTCTCTAATGCACTAAAAAACACTCTCAGAAGGTCTCAGAAGAACTACAAACTGTCAGTCATCCCCACCTGCTGCCTATAGCTCCACTGCCTAAATTATAACTCACATACAGCAGAAGTCTCATTACTACTCACTGCTGTCACCCTTTCTCTTCTCTCTCTCTTTTGGCTGTATAATGTAGCCTGTTTATTTTATGTTAATATCGCTGACTACTAAACCCTGTATAACTCTATACAAGTAACATTATAACCATTAACTGATAAGTAGTGTTTTTCAAATTAAACTATAATATAAAACATCCAGTAATCCAGCGGTTGCTTTTGCTTATATGATGCAAATGATCAAATAAAAGCTAGTCCTTTATATACTACACTACAAATGATTTGTGTAGGAAAGCACAAAGGGTTGTTTTTTTCCCCTTGATGCAGAAACCCCTTTGAATATATGGAGATCTGAAACTGCCGAAATCAAAACTAAATAAATGAACAAATAAATTAATATACCACAATGTAGACATTGATTAATTTATAAATAATTTGAATGACAACCCCCTCATTTGCTTATGAAGCAGAAATGTGTGTACAAAGAAAATAAAGAATTAAATGAGTTTGGGTAAATAAAGAAGAAGAATGCCAAAGGAATATAATACAGAAATAAATACTTGTAAAAATGCAACAACTGAATAAATTGAACAATTTGATGGCAACATGCTTACATTTATTTATTTCATTTTGGTAAAAAATAATTAAATATTAATACATTTATATTAATACTAATTAATTTAGTTATTAATTTTGGCAGTTTTGGTCCTCCATATATTTATAACCCACTGGAAACATCCACAATCTGAACATATACCTGCAAAACACAACAACATTAGACAAAACACGATAACAACATTAAACAGCAAATCCCAAAATAGAAAAGGTAGGGTCTTGTTTGTGATTGGACAGAACCCAAGTTGTGTTTTTGGTTTTGCTTTTGTCTTGTCCAAAGCAGTATGGTACAACAACTCCTACCTTTAAGGAACTTATGATTGCCATTTTTTTTTTAATAAAAAAATTTTCCAGTTACAATTTATATGTGTGTTTATTATTGAGGTCATAATTAGATGTGGTTTTGTACTGTTTCTCATATTCTCCGCAATGAGAAGTGAATTATCTTTGTAAAGGCAAAATATTTGGCTGGGCTAGATGCCGTTCAGTTTTACAGGTGTACCTTAGAAAATGGCCTCTCCAGCCAGGAATTGATTTGGATTAATTGTTAGCCTTCTGGGTGTGGAAACACATGGGTTTCTAAACCGGACCCTTTCAGTGCTCTGGTCTGAGAGCTTGTACATTTTCTAACTTTTTAATTTTTTAATAAAATGGCATTTTTTCATAGGCTATAAGGTGAATAACTGTGTGGTGTTTGCTTACTTAAAATGCGTGGCTGATGTTGGCCTGATCTGAACCCTCTGATTTGGAGGCTATTTCGAACACTGGATTGAAAATATTATCCTAGAGAGCTCAGAGCTTAGATGTACTTTCAGTAAAAACACACTGTGCTGCAGCACGTAGAGGAGATGTGGAACTATATGTCAAGAGCATGTCAAACAATATGTCTACTATGTCTATCTTTCTAGTTGTATTTAGCTACCTGTATGTCAGCCAATGGCTTTTGATTTGCAGCTAATGTGTTTTATTTGCAGTAATGCAGACAGGGCCTGATGTCAGCCGCTCTCTGCACTGACAGACACACACTTGTTCTGTGGCACTTTGATCAAAAGCGGTGAGCTTTCAGGGTTCATAGGCTGTTTAAGATATATTTTCAGACACTCTGGAAGCCTTTTGCAGTGTTGAGTCAGTCTAAAATAGCTGCCAAATATCTGACTAAAAGACACCAAATATCAGTGTGAGGCCTGACCTACTTTCATGACAACACACACACGCACAGTAACCACATGTAAAAATTGTAGTATTATGCTAACTTGGACAGATCTACTGTTGATCGTTTTTCAGTGCATGACCTACTAATTTGATATTTGATTGAATGACATGCTTTGCGTTGTTAATATGATTTTATTCAGTTTGAAATTGTTAGTTGTGTTCCGTTCTAGTGCCTTTTAAGGAATCGAATGTATGTGATGTATGTATAATCTTAGCTTCTGTTAAGGATTTGCTGATTTTTTTGGAATTGATAATAGAGAGCCAAAGTGAAATTGGAACATCCAGGTTCCGTTCCAGGAGTTAGAAAACCTAATAGCAAAGCTAAACTAGACTCTGGAAATTACAGCTAAAAGGTTTTACCTCCACCAATCAAATGGTTATGCTTACATCTGTGCAGTGATGGGGTTTAGGATTGGGGCAACCCTGTTGAATGAGGTGGAATTTGTTTGCCGCTTGAAGGGAAATGATGCCTGAGAGGCTACTTGTCATCATAGAAACACAGATTTACCATGAATACTGATAGTCTCGCTCGTTCAGCTTTTATATTATTTACTGTCTCCCTGGAAATGCATGATGTCCCCAAAACAATCAACATGTGCATAAGATACAGAAACAAAGTGATGGTTGCTGATTCTCCGATTGTTTATTGAAGAGACAGAATACTCTATTTCCTGTGGATTATGTTAAACGTGCAGTATGTCATTTCTGCTGCTAAGGGGTCTCTCACATCAAAACATCAACAAAACACAAAGTTTGATGACTTTGTGAAATAGCATGGGATCATGGGAGTCGTCACTACCATTGCCATCATTCACCTTAAAAATCAGTGTTTCTCTGACACTGTTCAGCAGACAAAGGAAGTCCTGGAGGGGCTGTGAGAAGAGCTACTGCGAACGTTAGCTCAGCTCATTTCTCCGATAACTTAAGATCCAGTCGTCCAATGACTAAAATCCTTCGTCTGGTTCAAATATATAGCTAAAAACAAGATCTGAAAAAATGTGGCATAAAACTGGATAAAACGTCAATTCATTATTGTCTTCTGGCAGACAACCACAATGATATGTAATGCATTTCACTGACTAAAATTACAGATTTCTCTGGGTTGGAACTCTGTTTCAGATGATTTGTTTTTTCTGCTCAAAACTTGCTTGGATTTAAAACTTTTCTGTGGCCCCAGCTAAACCGCTACAACACTCACAAGGTTTATTTGGCTGGTTGGTAAATGGTTGTTTTCTACTCCTTCTCTCTTACTCTTTGCTGTTTTCCACAGTATTGTAAAACGCAGCACACTCTGCTGGATAAACTTTGCACTTAAAGCAATAAATTAACAAGCATTTGTTCCTGCAGTATATACCGGAATTGAATAACATATATAACGATACGGAAACACTACAGCCTTCGACCTGCTGTTAAGTTACATTATAAATGATTTGA